TCTACTACGATATCCACTGTGAACCTGCACTACGCTTTCCTACTGTCTCCGAAATATTCACTGCCAACCTCTGGATTCTATACGCGAAGACGACCGTCATGAAAATGTCTAACATATGGTAATAATGTCGGCCATGTCCGTGCGAAATGTCAATTTTATACACGGAATGACTTTTGTAAAAATGTAAAAAAAAAAAAAATGTTTGTCATCTTTGTTTTCCTATCGGAATGACCAGAGCCAACATGTCAGGCGAACATGACAGACGGAAGAACTACGCTCTGCTACGATATTCACTGCGAACTACGCTTTCCTACTGTCTCCGAAATATTCACTGCCAACCTCTGGATTCTATACGCGAAGACGACCGTCATGAAAATGTCTAACAGATTTAGAAGAGGAGCAAGTTGGTAACTGACTGCGTTGGCTTTCGGACATCTGGTCTCGACTCCTCTGTCTAGTTTGCCGTTTTCAGTAAATTTCAGGGAAATTATACTGAACAATTATGATGTAATATGTTATACATTGCAGTAGTTTTAGTGCGATTTTCGATAAACAATGTGAATTTAAAACATTCTCATAATTTGTGCTCAGAAGTATTATGGTGTTATATAGACCTTTATCTTTTTTTGTTTTCCGTAACACTTCCGCTGCTAACTACGGAGATCTTTGTTTTTCTTATCTTGCTCCAGCTGGCTAAGTACGGAAACCTACGTTTTTTTTTTTTGCATACCGCTGGTATGAGTGTCCCGTTGCGCCATCTATCGTAAAATCACAAAGGACAATGCTTCAAAAGATATCATGTGTATACCCATTACTGATCTGGTAAATCCTTCCCAGGTATATCCATGAAAACGGAATGCTTTAAAACACACTGGTGCCAGTGTTCTGTGTAATAAAATATGTAGGTTGAAATTTGGCATTTTCTTTAAAAATGGCTGGCCGGATGGGGGCAGCACTGGGCAAATGAGTAGCAGTGAAAGTGTTAACTATGACCTAACAAATGATCTTATTCATTCAGTAGCATTTTCTGCAATATTTTTCAGTTTTTTACAGTTTTACTCAACGAATCGTATTTTGCTTGTGGTGATTCATAATTAGAATAATGCTTTGTATTCAATTCAATGGATCTAATACAAAAGATATTAACTTTATTTGGTTTTATTCTTGAAAGTGTCAGTTTGTAAGCAAAGACCTGCGGAAATTAGGTATTTTTGTTTATTATTTTTTTCAGACAATATTTAAAACTAAACGCGTAAAAAATTGGTAAAAGCTATGAATCTAATTTTTGATATCAGTCCTCATCATATCAAATTTCTAAAAGAGTAAAAAATCAACCTGCCCTAACCTATATCTAACTGTTGAAATGTGTTTAAACATAAAAATACAAGAATTAAAAAAATAACTAGCATTTATGATTTATTAGTTTTAACCCGTGAACATTTCACGGATTTCTTATTTTAAATTTCTAATGAATCTTAATTCTCCAGTTTCTGATTGAATAAGCCAATGGAGAGTTCTAAGACAATATTTTATTGTCCGTAGAATCCGTAGAAATTCGGCTCTTGCATCGTTAAATATTTGAGCTTAACAACTTTAACAAAATATTGCAATAGGAATCATATATATGGATACTGGGAGCATCTTGAAATGATTTAATCGTTATCAAGCTTATCTCGCTTGATCAATTACAACTGAGTGGTGATTTCGATCCTCACTGGGAGGGTGCATACTTCTGGCCTTGTGCCATATCTAAGCTAAGCTTAGAAAATCGCCATAAATATGAATGCCGGTCGTTATTTTAAGAAGTGGGTACAAACGAAATAATCTGAAATTGACAGCTTTTTCCATTTGAATGAAACAGACGTTAAACACTTCTAACTTTCCTTGTTTCTTTGATTTTCTGAATGAAACCAAGTAGCGTCTTTGAGATATCTTCTGTGTTTCCACGTAATCAAAACGCAGTAGTCCATTATATACAAGGTATTAACAGGAGACGTTATATACTTCTGACTTTTTTCTTTCTTTCTTTCTTTCTTTCTTTTCCACTGAAACCAAGTAGCGTCTTTGATATATATTTCTTCTTTCCACGTGATCAAAAGAGAATGGTTCATTATTCATGAGGTATCGGCAGGACGTATAGGGTCGTACGAACTAGGGTAGGGAGGGATAAGCACTATTATTATATGATTATTAAGTTTTCTTATTTGTTTCACTACAGATTGTTGAATTGCTTGGGCTTGTCTCGCTAGATCAATTACGGCTGAGTAGTGAATTCGATCCTCACTGAGTGCTCCACACTTTCGACCTTGTGCCACATTGAAGCTGCGCTTAGAAAGTCGCCACGATTGAAATGCGTGTGTATAAGAAACAATGTTTATTTTGAAAAGAATATGGCTAAGGCCAGCATGCGGTTAATGAAGCCATTCAAAGCTGCATTGGGTTTGAAGAGAATTTCAGAAATACTTGCCCGCCTAACAACTTTTCACTAACAAACACTTTACAGACTCTCTCTCTCTCTCTCTCTCTCTCTCACACACACACACACACACACACACACACAAATTATATATATATATATATATATGATACTAGAATTACGTACTTTTTACAGACTAGAAGAACGTTTGGCATAAAGCACTCAACAGATGACTACAGTTTTAATATTTAACAAAATATTATTTTAATTAACAAAATATTATTTTAATTAACAAAATATTATTTTAATTAACAAAATATTGTCTTAAGAAAATATTATTTTAATTAAGAAAATGTTATTTTAATTGAGAAAATATTATCTTAATTAAGAAAATGTTATTTTAATTAAGAAAAATTAAATTTACTTATTTGATTAGTCGACCCAAGAGTTCTGTGTCGAAACACTCTTCAGTGCCAAATGATTAATAAATAACTTATAAAACATCTGGTCAAATGTTTGATAAAACATTTATGCCAAAAACACTCATCAGGGCCAAATGATTAATTAATAACTTATAAAACATCTGGTCAAATGTTTGATAAAACATTTATGCCAAAAACACTCATCAGGGCCAAATATTTAATAAATAACTTATCAAACATCTGGCCAAATGTTTGATAAAACATTTATGCCAAAAACACTCATCAGGGCCAAATATTTAATAAATATCTTTTCAAACATCTGGTCAAATGTTTGATAAAACATTTATGCCAAAAACACTCATCAGGGCCAAATGTTTAATAAATAACTTATCAAACATCTGAGATGTTTGATGACACATTTATGCCAGAAACACTCATCAGGGCCAAATGTTTAATAAATGTCAGACATACTCATCAAGTGGAAATAAGATTGATGATGTGATTATATATTAGCTTTTTGTCTAAACTGAGGCAGGAAGAGAAAGATCTTAGAAGTCGGAATTTTCGTTCTCGTCTCGTTGAAAAAGGACACAGGCGTGCCCGAAAATTCCGAGTTTATATTTCTCTTCGTGCTTCAATTTACTCAAAAAGCTAATATATAATAATATCATCAATCTTATTGCCAATTTTTATCACTTTGTTGACCTTTTATTCCTCGAATCAAATTAATTGCGTCAAATTAAACGTTTTTAATATTTTCAATGGTTAAATCTATATGAATTTAGATGAACCATTTGATTTTGTGAACCTCATGACCATTGAAAAACAATAAATAGTTTCAGTGGCATAGACATGTCATAAGGGCCAACAATCTTTTCGTTACCATCCTAAAGGCTGCCACTTTAGGCAAATGAAGAGTCAGACAGAAGAAACAATGGAACTGTCAACGTCACTGAGTGAACTGGAAGACTCAGAAATTGGCACTCAGCCGAGATATATGAAGGGAGCTGGTCTGGTGTTTCGCTTCAATACATTCCTACGATCAGACTCGATCTTCAGAATCATTATTATTATTATTATTATTATTATTATATCAGAATTAAGCTATTATACACTTCGAGAGACATTATAATTTTGGCATTAAAGTTATTAGATTTTATCGAAGGCGATAAGCTTTTCACTTTCTGCTCCGACCACACCAGAAGTCAAGAAGGCGACGATTGGATCAATTGTCGACTTTGGAGCCCTCGTCTATCATAAACGCTATTTACGTCAAGGGGCCATTAGAATGATTTGATTGCACTTGGCCATTTTCCTATCATTATCAAGTGTACAAGTCCATCGAGAATAATTTATTTACTTTCTTTCGGGGTAAGGAACACGACGCACAGTATTTTAAAAGTGGGTGCTTCTGAAAAATCCCCGCAGTATTATAATATGAAATGCCAATTTCAGTTAATCCCCTGGCCCTCCTGTTTATATGCAATTCCGGATATTTGATATCGGATTTCCACTGCCCAAGATAATGACACTCTCACTATGAGAGAGAACGAAATCCTTGAGATTTTGTGTCAACAACCGGTGTTTGCATATTTATTGAACTAACTCACTTATGTATAAGGTACCCAAATGTAAAACGAAATATATGGCAAGTGACATAGAAGATTCTACAGCGTCGAAGCGCCTCTATTATAGTGATATAAATTAAACTAAATTCTAATCCAACCATTAGAAATAAGTTACTACAGAACTAGTTATCTCCTAGATAGACCGTATTACAAATAACGCAATGCGAGACACCATCAACATGAAAAATACACTTTGTAAGACGTTATAACAACAGTTAAATTGATTGATTCGATTTTATGGTTTATCAATCCTTTTCAGGTTATTTAAAGCCAGAAGATATTTTTGTTTTATGGTTTATTTATTTTATGTTTTATTAACCCTTTGTGGGTTATTAAAAGCCAGAAGATATTTTTAAATTGCAAGAATTTTTATTTTAGTTAATAAAAGTTTAGCGATAAAAGTCTTACTAATTAACCCATAGATGTGTGGAAAAGAGTTGGATTCATGCCTTTCCGAAGGGTATATGCGTGTAAGTGAATATAACAAACTCGACCGGAATTCGAACCTCGACTCTCCGATTTTCAATCCGCACCTTACAGCACATGGTATTCCGAAGTGATCACCCACCTAACTACTAACCAGGAACGAAATTGCTTAACTTCGGTGATCGTACGAGAACTGATGTTTCAAAGTGATGTGACTGTAAGCCAGAACAGCCGTTAAGAAGGGTTGAAATGGTATGATCACGGGACAAGCGCCAACAATCTTCCCATTACCATCCTACAATGTACCATCTGAGGGAAGAGTAAAAGAGGCGGACGGAAGAAAAAAATCGGATGACAATGTTACTAGATGGACTGAAAGTTCGTTCGCGGAGACTGAAACACTGATGCGCAACTGAAACATATGAAGAGAAATGGTCAGGTTCTCATTTGCAAAATGACCGTACGACCACACCCGGTCATGAGTGATTGATTGACTGACAAAAGCCAGACAAAAGTTTTTGATTGTAAGAATTTTGTTTTGGAGATTATAAGTATTTACTGATAAAATTGCTACTACTAATTTACCCATAGGAGGGGGATGAGATAGATCCATACGTTTCGCAACGGTATTTGCGTGTAAGTGAATATAACGAACCCAACTGGAATTCGAAATCAAACTCTCCGATTTCCAATTCATGCGCCACATATCCAAGTTAAGAGATATTCTCTAGTGATCACCCGCTAAGGTGCTGACCAGTGTCGACGTTTTTTAACCTTAGGTATTGTACAAGAATCGGTGTTTCAACTTGATATGGCGTAAACCGACCTGCTAATGAAACTCTTGATTTTAAAGTCGGAATTTTCGGGCACGCCTGTATCCTTTTTCAACGAGACAGTTCCGAAAATTCCGACTTTAAGATCTTTGTCTTTGTCCTTCAATTTAGTCAAAAGGCTAATATATAATAAATATCATCAATCTTATTTCCAATATTGCAATCATTTTGTTGGCTTTTTATTCCCCAGATTTTATTAAATTTTAAAACTAGATATTATAAGAATCACACGTGGACCATCTTTCGTTTTAATTATATATATATACATATATATATATATATATTGTTGTAACCTTAGGAAGGTTACTGAATAGAATAATCACACGAAGGTTGGTAATGAACGATAATACTTAGGACAAGAACAACACATATAAGATTCGCCAGCGGCACGTAGAAGTAATCAACTGCTGGAAGAGAGTCAAGTGAATTCCACAATGAATCACCAACCCTAAGATATCTACCAACCGCGGAACGCAGTCAAATGTGGCACAAGGCCGAATTTAATTTAAGGTATAGGCTCGGCTAAAATTTTCCCGTAGAGGATCGGGTAGCTGTTTCCTGAGACGAGTCTCTGCCCTTCGTCATAGCCTCGTTTGGGGATCGTCTTTGGCCGAAGGCAGAGAGTTTGACCAGCACAGCTTGGCACGAATCTCCAACCCTAAACCAACATGCAAACAGTATTTACTACTGTATTTATGTGAATGGCGACATACCCATAAACGCCCGTAGCTACCCTACAACACACACACACACACGCACACACACACACACACACACACACACACACATAGATAGATAGATAGATAGATAGATAGATAGATTATGTAAAGTTCAATTAATACATCTGGTTAGTCGACTCGAGAGTTTCGCGTCGAAATCTCATGATGCTGATGGTGTGATGATGATATTTTTTATTGGTTTGTTTTTTTACGACTTATCAACATTTTTAAAGTTATTTAAAGCCGACATATATTTTGGAAATATAAGAATTTTAGGGAAATAAATATTTCTGATGCAAGTCTTACTATTTAGCACATAGCTGCGATGAGAAGCGATGGATTCGTACTTTTCCCAAGGGTACTTGCAAGGGTATTCGAACACGACACTGTGATTACTCATTCCAAAACATTAGCCACTACACTACCTCCACATGCAAACTTACAGCACCTGGTATCCTCGAGTGGTAACCCATTTAGCTACTGATCAGATTCAACGTTGCTTAACGGATTAAAACTGATATTTCAGTGTTATAAATCCGTAAGCCATGATGATAATGCTGATGACAAGAAAGTTAGCTAAAAAAATCTATCGATCCATGGACAGACTTTTAAATTTTTTTTTTTTATTTCTATTAGAAATCCAAATTATTTTAACTTTTAATCCCCGCCTAATTATTTCGCCTTTTCACATTGCAATTCTTTATCTGTCTATATTTCTGAGACAAGGTAGTGTAATAATTTACATTATTTACATTGTTAGGAGCGTTGTCCTCATCTTCATTGTCATGTTCACGACGTTTTGGCTATTGTACGCTTCGGCCTTCTTCAGGTGATTGTAATTTTCGAACTGAACCCTTTATTTCGTCTACCGGGGTAGATTGTTCTCGTTCCATGTGTCATGCCTCTTCCAAATGTCTCAGTTACTCCCTTTAGTTCAACTCCCGAAGTTTTTTTTTTTCACCACTGCCGTAGCCAGGTATTGAAATCATCACTCTTTGCGTCAAGCCACTGTATCCAACCAACGCTTTTATCTCCTGAGCCATGTGTCCTTGGCCATGACAATAAAGATGAGGACAGCAGCCAGAACAATGTAAATAATATAAAATGCAATTCTTCTTCTCTGTGCCATGTCCCGACAGGACATTGGGGATGATGGCTCTCAACAACTTCCTGTCTTTGCAGCTATAAATAAGTGTTGCTTTTTTGTTATCTCTTAATAAATGTTGCTTTTTTGTTATCTCTTAATAAATGTTGCCTTTTGTTATCTCACCTAAATCTTGTTCCGCCATCGATTTACTCAAGAGTTTCATGATCTGCATTTTACTTTCTGTATTGTGTTTGTTTTTGCTTTAGACGAAATTTTATTCTATTGAGTGCGTAATTCAGTTGAAAAATTGGAACTCTTGTTAAGATATGGATGCTCTGAAACTATTCCAACGAAATCATCGGAAAGGTTTCTGGATGAAAATTCCTCATCTTCAGAAGTACATATAAGCGCGGATGCAATCAACATTACCAATATTAATATAATTTACAAATGCATATACAAACATATACATAAAAAAAAGTTTTTATTAAATTCCACCGTTGAGGTATGGTGATTTTCTAAGCTTAGCTAAGATATGGCGTAAGACGGAAAGTATGAGAACTCACTATTCAGTCGTAATTGATCTAACCAGACAGGCTTGCTAAACCTTACACCACGTCGAAGTGCCCCAAATGATTTTCTGAACGTATCTTAAATGTGGCACAGGGCCCAAAGCATGGAGCACCCAGTAATAATCGAACTCATTCTTCAGTCGTAATCGATTTAGCCAGACAAGCTTGCTGACAATTGCACCACGCCAAAGTGCTCCGACCAACGAGGTTTATATGTTTTATTTTTATTATTACTATTTCCTTTGATTCCTGGCGTTTACTCATTTCTTTCCGGGTCCCGCCCAGGGACCTAAGGTTAGAAATGGCATAATCACACTTTCCACTGACAAAAAAAAATTACATAGATAAAGCTCTTCGTAAAGTGTGGGCTGTACTTGTCAGAACAATTTTTCTACCTCTTTGAGGTATGGGCTTCCAGGAATCCCTTCAATTAGTACTAGACTCTTTTCCAACCAATCGTAGGGCTCCAACTACAACAGGGATTATTAAAGTTCCCATGTGCCACATTTTTGAGATTTCTATTTCAGGGTCCTTGTATTTTGACAGCTTTTTGAATATCTTCAAAGATACATTGCAGTCTGCAGGGACTGCCATATCAATAAGGAGGCACTTTTTTTGTTTGTGGTCTTTAATAACAATGTATTATTATTATTATTATTCCAGTTTTTGAATAATTTGTTTCATATCTGGAAATCGCAAATTTACTTCACCGAAAAATAACAGAAAGAAACAGACACACACACACACACAAACAAAGGATTGATTCAGACGCTAAAATATATTCGCATATATAAACAATATCACCAACATTATACTCGTATTTTTAATAGTATTTATTATAAACAGATAGTTAATTTGATACTTTCATAAAATAATTTTTTTTTTTATTAAAATATATTACATTCACGTTGTAATTCTTCTATGTGCCATGTCCCGACAGGACATTGGCGATCATGACTCTCCGCAATATCCTGTCTTTGTAGCTCTTGATATATTTTGTCTTTTTGTTACCTCCACTTATCTTTGTTCCATCGTCCATATATTCACTAGGTAAGTTATACATTGTTTTGCTCTGCCCTCCTATGTTTTATCGCTTTTGTTAGAGTATCCCGACTGACGGGAAAGGTATGAATCCAACTCTTCTCTCCCCACCAATAGGTTAATTAGTAAGACTTGTATCAATTAACCATTATTATCTTCTTTACAGGTAATTTAAAGCTAGAAAATGTTTTTAGATTTTCAGAATTTATTTTTTGGTGGTGGGGAGAAGAGTTGCATCCATACGACTGTCACTCTCACTGCTTTTCTCTGCATCTCGACAAATGGCTTGTGAATGGCCTTTATCTAACATTCCCCTGTCTGTATGAGCCTTTGACTGGAATTTCAATACTTCCGGTTGAGTGATACTTGACCCCGAAAGTATTCATTTATTGTTTTTTATTTATGTTTTCCTACTTCTGGGTATGGGGTGGTTGCTTTGAGGCTCTGATATCTCGAATTTACTTTTGGTTGTCATAAAATCTGCCGGCGCTCCAAGCCCAGATAAAATGAATTACAGTTTAGTTGACTTCGTGCGTGTCCTAAGCCAATAGAGCAGAGATTCGTCGTGTCACTATACTAAATTCTAAAAAGAAAATAATAATACCCTACATGTTAAGTTAAGCATTCGGTGTTAATTTTCAGAACTCATTGAAATGAACCTTTTTTTTTTTAATATTAAATTTATGTTTCATTTCGTGTCTCGTTAGAATATTTCCAGATGATCTTTTCACAAGAAGAACAGAGTATTTCCGCTATGACTGCTCTATTACATCACACGACAGGAATTTTTTTATAAAATACTATATAATCTTTCCTCTGTAAAATAACAACTTTTAATAGAATAGACACGTGTTTTTTGTTTTTGTTTTTTTCTGTACACCGGGGTCGGATATTTTTCGGCTTTGTTTGTCTAGGAAGATAAAGACATGATGACAGCAAACGATAGGCAAAAATATTGATTGTGTAAATGTGTTGGCTACTCGAAAAGAGGAAAAAAAAATGAAAGAATAGACTAATTAAAAGTGGATTAAGAAGGCAAGAAAGAAAGAAACAAGGAAAAAGAAAGAAAAGAAATAACGAAAAAGAAAAGAGCAAAAAAGGAAAAGGAGAGAAAAAAAACAACGAAAAATTAAAAAGAAAGGAAATAACAAGAAAAGACAGAAAAAAGAACGAAAAAGGAAAAAGAAAAGAAACACCAGGTAAGGAAAAAGACAGAAAAAAACAACGAAACAGGAAAAAGAAACAAAGAAAAGAAACAACAAAAAGGAAAAAAGGGAAAAAAAACAATGAAAAAGGAGAAAAAAAAAAAAGAAACAATAAAAAGCAAAAAGACAAAAAACAACGAAAAAGAAAAAAGGTAAAAGAAATCTCAAAAAAGGAAAAAGACAAAAAAACAATGAAAATGTAAAAAAAGAAAAGAAACAACAACAAAAGGAAAAAAAAAAAAAATAACGAAAAAGACAAAAAAAAATAAAGAAAAAACAAAATAGAAAAAAGACAGAAAAAACAACGAAAAAGGAAAAAGAACAAAACAACAACGAAAGGAAAAAGACAGAAAACCACGAAAAATGAAAAAGAAAAAAAGTGCAACGGAAAAAGACTGAAAAAACAACGAAAAAGGAAAAAGAAAAACAGAAATTGAAGAGAGAAATAAGAAAAGCAAACAAATGGTAGCAGAAAAAAAAAGAAAAGAATCAGTTAAAAAAAAAGTAAACCACACAAGAGAAATCAATAAAAAAAATGTTCTATAAAAAAAGGAATAAATAAAAAAAATAAAACCCAAATTAAGATTCATTCTTCTCCTACTGATGGTCACCACGCACGTTTGCTGGCATCAGCTCTTCACTAATTAAGGCTCGATAAATTCTACGTGATGTATGATTTGTCACGTGTAATGCCCAGCCATGATTATTGAAACTAGCAAAATTGACCATTTGCACGAACAGATGCAAAATAACAATTCCAGAAAAGCCTTTCTCCTCACTGCTTAATAATAATAAATAATCGAGGAAGAAAAGAATAATAAAAAAGAAGGAAGAGACGAGAAAGAAAACAGAATGAAAAAATATATCATTACAAACGGGGGATAACGACATCTCTAATAAAACAGTAAAAATGAACAACGATGAGTAGTGGTGAGAGATAGAATTAAAGAGTGTCGATAAAAAGAGAAAGAAGAGAAAAGGAGAAAAAAAGAATAAATATTTTTTATATTTATTCCTTTTTCTCTTTTTCTCTAAAAGAAAAAAAAATGTTTCAGAAATGCACAAGGAAAAGAAAAAAAAAATGAAAATAGAATATAATTAGGTACCTCCACAAAAAAACGATATCTAAGGTTTTTACATCATAAATCTTTCTTGAAGCTATTATTTTAAGTTTAATTTCAAGATAACAGATTAAATTTAATAGTTCCAATGAGCAAAATACTTTGCTCTATTTCAAAACTAGTTTAAATTGGCTGGAAGGAGTTTTTATCACAAATCGCTAAAAATTGCTGATTTTGGCGCTATCTCTCAGCACAATGCAATTCTCTTTACTAAATTTCTTTCAAAAATAAAATATACATTTCTAAATGTTTATTTGAGGAATATAAACTGACTTAAAGTTTAATTAATTTGATTTGAAACAAATATTACTTATTTTCAGTTTAAAATACAGTTTAGAATATAGTTTAGAATATAGTTTAGAAATACAGTTTAGAATATAGTTTAGATATACATTTTTAACACTGAGGTATGTGTTTACTTAAGCTGACAGATTGTACAGTTTGACTGTTATCCGAAACTTGTTTTTCCTAAAAATAGATTTTACTTAATATCAATATCACTTAACCAGTACAAATTAATACAGAATTTTAAAAGATATAATTTTTTATGTTCTATAAGTTATTCTAATTAAAACATTTTTTCTTGTAAAAATTCATTATTCATCGAATTCTTGTTTTAAGATATCAGTGTTTATAATATATCTTATTCATAAAAGCTTTTTCTAATTAAACTATGCCTTAGTTTTATTGTTTTATTTTAAGATTCAGAGCATATTTTCTGTAGCTGCTTTACAAAACAAAATTGATGTTTTAAATTATCCAAGGAGTTCTGTGTGTAACAGATATAAGCATTAATCGGCACAAAAATTAATTTCTCGGAATTTCATAAAATTAAATATGTTTATATGAGGGGGGGACGTAACAGATTAAAAAAATATTTTACCAAGATTTTCTAGAAAAGAAACATATCTAAAATAATTTTATTCATTTGTTAATAAGTCCTGAAAGTTTCATTAAAAATCCAAGAATTATTTGATTTTTGCAATAATTTCTAAATCATGATTTTCACAGCAAAAAAAAAAAGACGCTAACGTTTCCTATACTAGTCTTTGACGCGATATAAAAAAAAAAGATTTTTAACAAAAATTGCGAAAGTTCTAAAAAAGAATCCAAAAATATAATGTAATAGTCAACAAATGCTTTGGCCTTTCCTCTTACTAATAACAAAGATTTTGACGCTAAAACTTTGTTTTTATTAAGTTACTGTCATTTTTTTCATCACGGTATGATCACTTTTTAACTAATCTGTGAAGGTGCCTAAATGAGAAAAAGAGAAACGGAAGTAGATCAAATATTTGAACTAATACTTCCAAGGAAGAAAATAAGAGAAAAGTAAGCGGAAAACGCTTGCAAACATTAAAGCAAGTTGGTAACATGCTGTTTCTCTGTTCAATCGCTGTAACATGTGGGAATTGATCCTCAACCACTCGAGCAAAATCGGTCTACCACATGTTCCATCTGTCAAAATGTTTGAAAAAAAAAACTACATGCCTCGTGAGACACATGCTAGTCCATTGAATTGGTTTGAAAGAACAGCTTGGTTCGAAATTCCCTGAAAGTTATCGGCTATATTAGTTACCTGAAGAAGAGTAAAACTACCGAAATCCTGAAATGATTGTAATGACAAAAGTACGTGGGTGTAGGCTTTAAGAAAGCTTTATTCAACTAAGAATACAAGGTTCGCGTATAGTGTCCTTTTATAGTCCCAGTAAACAGAAAAAGCTCTCTCAGAGGGGATAGTAACAAAACAAGGGGAGCCCACTCTTGATTATTCATAACAACCTGAGCATATAAAAGTGAATTCATACGTTTTCTTTGTTCTTGAGACCCGAAAACAAAAATAATAAACACTATTATATTATTTATTGGAACGGTTGGTAAAACATCGGCTAATTGCCCATTGATTCAAACTTTATAAAATGATAAATAAGGATTTTTTATAGTTGGTGTAATGTCAAATCTACGCAGGTGTAGACTTTAAGAAAGCTTTATTCAACTGAAAATACAAGGCTCGCGTATAGTGTCCTTTTATAGTCCCAGTAAACAGAAATAGCTCTCTCAAAGAAGAGAATAAAAAACAAGGGGAGACCACTCTTAATTGTTCATGACTATGATAACAACAAATATGAAGATAATAGTCACAGTAAGTAAGTATATAACGTTCTCGTTACAGTTGTATATTAATCATAACCTAAAGTCATTTTGCAACCAATTAATCGTGGCTAGAGGTAATTTTTCAAATTCTTACATGCTCAGTGTTTATAAAATGTACACCTTTAACTAAATCTTGGAACAATTCAAATAAAATATTGAATGAATTAATATTAATCCTTATTCCAGTTGTCATAATTATAGACTTACGATATTAGATTTTATTAAAAATTTCATTTATTTTATATTTTGGGATAACTTAAAAAAACAGAGTTCCCAGTAAAAAAGCGGCAAATTTCTTCTTCGAGAAAATACACCAGCTCTGATTGGTCCATCTCAGTGACTCTCTAAAAGCCCGGATCTGAATGTTATGGATTACTGTATCTGATGTATACTCATAACTCACTCGCAACACCGTCGTCGTGACATCGTCAATACTGATTCTTGAAGTGCTTGTTGATTGGTTGTTTCGTTTTATGGCATATCAACACCTCAGTGGGTCAGTTATTGCCAACAACATTTTTGGAATAGATTCATAGCAATAGTTTGGTAAAAAAAGGTGTGTATGTATACATATATATTTGAACCATTTTTCAATTACTCATATTTTTTAGTACAATCACACGTATTGCTGGTAATATTTTTGGGTTTTTTTTGCGAAAATGTATTACTGGTTATAGTTTTTCAAAATACATTGCTGGTAATAGTTTTTTTGTCAAAAATTTATTTCTGATTATAATTTTTTACAAAGTATTTCTTGTATTAAAATCCATTTTTACACTTTTATAATGCTTTTTTACCCCAGTTTTTGGGTTAACTATTTGCCCATAGCTGGGACCCTAACAGGTGCTACCACCCCGGCTCAGGATGAACCTGGGAACACCAGCAATTAAGAGATGGTTCCACGCTCCTCAAAACCTCCTTATCAGAGGCCTTACTGTTGGATGTAGTTTATCTTCATACACATGACGCCCCATTGTGGTGGTGGGGGGTCTTACCCCTCTGCAGAGGTGCAGTCGGCGTATTCTACAGCCTCAGCCGACAGGGCATTCTTGAAGTGGAACTTAACTGAAGTTTGGAACGAAATTCATCTTGAAACTATCGGCAAAGATACCGTCTCCTTACCACGTTTTCAACTTTGTGGTGAACATTCAGGCAAACTTTCGAACATCTATAATGAGTGTTCAGTTTGGGCAAGAATCATAATAGCGAAATAGATTTCTTTCTGAATTTACCGTTTTTTTTTTTGTACTGGGCAACTCTGTAGTTAAGTTTTAAAAGAAATTTTATTTGTTCAAACAAGAATATCTCGTTTGACGCCAAGATCAATTTTCACCCAAAACTAAAATATGGTATAAATAAAATCATTTATAAAAAAAAAAATCGCACTCTCTTTATCTGTCTATCTATCGTTCTCTCTCACTCTCTCTTTTCCTTTCTTTTTCACGCCCTTTTTCTCTCTCTTTGTATCTCCTGCTATCTCACCCCTTTTGTCTCTCTGTCTCACTCTCAGTTTCGATCTCTCCAAATCTTTGTCGCTCGCTGCAGCTCTTTTTCTTCCTTATATGTTTCTCCTTCTCTCTCAATTTTCCTTTCTATCTTTTTCTCTCTTTTACACGTTCTCTCATCTCCCTTATTTTGTCACTCTCCTTCTCTTCTTTTCTCTCTGTATTTCTCTCATTCTGTCCTTCCTTCTTTCTCAATCTGCCTCCTTCTCACTCTCTTCTCTCTCTCTCTCTCTCTCATTAATATCTTACTGTCTCTTAGATACAAAAAAATCGATGCAGCCACTGATAGGAAAATCCCCTAATACTTGATCGCTCGTTCAAGATGGCGCGTGCTATTTACTTGTATAGCAATTTTAAACACGTGCTTATTAATCTAATACCCAAGAGGAGTTTGATAACAAAGAAACAGACAGAGGCAACACCTTTAGATAGATAGATAGATAGATAGATAGATAGATAGATAGATATGGGTATAATAAAAAAAACATATGTATACGCATATAAACTTGCACGTACATATATATTTTTCTCAAGTGTTATAAAAACAGTGATCAGTGTCTTATAACAGAACTAAATATGACATTCTTCATATATAACCTAAGCCTAAACCTAAACTAAAACACCAGACAACTCTTTCATAAATATTTTGGGAATTGAAGAAAAAATCCCACAGATAATTTGGAAGATTATAGCTTTCGTACGTACTAATAATAATCTTCGAGATAGGTGAGACTTATGTTTAGAAGAAAAAATTAGAATAATAACACAATCAAAGCCAACTATTGAATCAGAGAAATGAATTAATATTAAAATGCCGGCATAAAAACAAATTCAAATTACTATAACAAAAACAAATTACTATACTATAGGTTTAACTTAATTACCTACTATATTTTCATAAAATTTACTCCCCTCTAACTCTCCAAAGTATAACTAATTCTAATTCCTATATTCTCCTTCTATAACCTTTTACACTATATTAATTATAATTTATAAACTTTCCCCTCCTCTAAGATCTCCCCAACTCTCTTTTCATTAATCCTTAATTTATTCTTAAACCCCTTTTTATTCATCTTTTAATTTTAAATTAATATTTCATTCTTCATATAATCTCAAATTAATGCCATAAGATTAATATTCGGGTTTAATTTTATAAAACTTCTCTTTAAAACAAATACCTTCCGCACACCCCTGTCTCGTGCCTTTCGTCTGACTGAAACATTGAAATGGATAAATTCTGTATTAGTTGTTTTAGTTTTAGTTTTTTTATTTTTTATTTTTTTCTGATACGGGGTTGATAAGACAAACGACCGATATATTCATCTGCCGAAACATGCTATTCCCCATACGAGGTGATTTGGGATTTTATTGTTTATTAATTTTATTGCTCTGTAATAATAGATACATTGAGCTCTTTTTGTGGATCAGTTTTAGTATTTTATATTACTAGGATCCACTTGAATTATATACTCATTTTAACAGATATAATTATCATAATTATACAAAAATACCTTGAAATACTAAAGAGTAAATTTATTCAATAAAATCGCCATCAGCTTCAAAAGACTCCAGACGATTTCGGAATACTAAAAGAGTGAGACTGAGCTATTTTAATGCTTGAAGAATTTCTTGGGGAGGTCTGCGATCTTTTTTTTTAACTTTTTCTTTAAAAAATTTAAAAAAATATCTCATTTTAAGGTGATTCTTTTTACGTCATGTAAGGTACTCCCAAAATCTTCTCCTGTAATAGATAGATAGATAGATAGATAGATAGATAGATAGATAGATAGATAGATAGATAGATAGATATAGATATATGTGTATGTGTGTGTGCGCGTATGTGTGTGTATTTATATATATAAAAATATATCGATATATAATTTGCATAATTTTATATTTCAACAAACAGTATCAAAATACTTTCAAAAACGCATTCAAAATAATTGCAAAAATCCAATCAAAATGTATTCAAAAATCCATTCGAAAATGCATTAAAACTCCATTCAAAAATGCGTTAAAAATGCATTAAAAATTCATTCAAAAATCCAATAAAAATCCATTCAAAAATCCATTCAAAAATCGTTTCAAAAATGCATTCGAAAATGCATTAAAAATACATTCGAAAATGCATTAAAAATACATTAAAAGTCCATTAGAAAATCCAATAAAAATGCATTCCAAAATGCATTAAAAATACATTCAAAAATGCATTAAAAATCCTTTCAAAAATCCATTCTAAGATGTATTAAAAATCCATTCAAAAATCCATTCAAAATCCATTCAGAAATCCATTTAAAAATCCATTAAAAATGCCTTAAAAATCCTTTCAAAACTGCTGCTGTTTATGTGTCGGGTACAAAACTGAAGCTAGCAGATACAGATGTGTAGACGTCCCAACGAGAAATATGAATTCCTTAAATAGGTAATTCAAACATTGCTCTATCAACGCGGCCTCCGTGGCCGAATTGGTAAATTAACGTTTTAGCCAAAGAAGCAGTTTCCCTGATGCAAAAGTGGATATAAGTTCGATTACCGCCGGAAGCCTAATCTTTCTTTAGTAGAACTTCTCAATATAGACTGACTGTTATTAATTTGCACCGTTTAAGAAAATTAAAAAAAAAAAAAACAAGATCACAAATACGTGTACCGGCTAAAAATATAGTTTATAGTAATAAGAAATAATTTCGGATAAAATCCATTCTAGTTCAACAGCTGAGTTGAAGAGCTAAGGCAAAATAATTAACACCCAAACTGGGATCATAACATGAAAATATAAAAATTCTTTAGAAAAAATTACCAGCAATACATTTTCATAGTAAAAAAAAAATTAAAAAATTCCAAGCAATACATTTTTGGTAATTAAATTATCAAAGCTTACAAGAAAATTAAATTTCGGCATTAAATGATCCATATGGAGTTGATATGCCGTTAAACACACATATCAAACCAAAGCTTGCAAGAAAATTAACTTTCGGTATTAAATGATCCATAAGGAGTTGATATGCCGTTAAACGCACAAATCAAATCAAAGCTAGAAAGAAAATTAAATTTCGGCATTAAATGACCCATAAGGAGTTGATATGTCATTAAACAAACCAAACAATCCAATTCTGCTGGTTTGATCAAGCAAAATATACCACAAATTTCACATATGAGATCAATGATACCTGATGACTGTCGACTCATTAAACGAGGCTCATCCTCACTGGCAATTTTGATGTTTTTAGTTCTGGTGAAAACGACAACGACTTTTGAAGCCGGTAAGTTACTTGCAGTGATTATGACAAACGCGCCATACTCAGTTGTTTTGTGCAGGACCTGGCTTGTTTTGTAAATTCTGTTCAGGATTTTCATGTGACGAGTGAGACTGGAGTGATTTCTGCCGATCTTCTGACACACCCCACATGCTGAGTTACTCTCAGCATTTTAATGATCTTAGTTTTTCAAAGGTCTACCAATATGACTCTTCTTGTAGCTAACTAGATCTGCATGGAACAGACATATTCTACCACATTCAACACATGTAAATTGATGATTTGCAAGATCCTAGCTGTACGCTTGATCTTTGCCCAACTCATTGCTTTTCCTTGGAAGGTTTTGATACCTTCACGAACTGTGCACCTCCAAATATTTCAATATTGCAGTTACCGTCTCAAGATTTTCTATATAACTGGTGTTGCAAAGGAATCTTTTTTAAACCATCCTTGGTTTATGCCGGGTTTGAATACCGTACAGAAATAGTCTGTAAAGGATCTGTTTGAGAATTCTGTTGACTTCAAGACGGAAGCCTGTAGCGATGAATGTACTCTTCGATACCGACTGAATTGACCTTTTCGACGGCCACTGGGCCAGGCGTTTGGGATATCCAGTAGATACCAAGATTCGATCCGAGACAACATGGTGATTGGTACTTCATGCCCACTTCATAGATAGATAGATAGATAGATAGATAGATAGATAGATAGATAGATATGAACAGTCTGAGATAAACATACTGAGATAGATAGATAGATAGATAGATAGATAGATAGATAGATATGAACAGTCTGTGATAGATAGATAGATAGATAGATAGATAGATAGATAGATAGATAGATAGATAGATATGAGCAGTCTGAGATAGATAGATATGAACAGTTTTAGATAGATAGATAGATAGATAGATAGATAGATAGATTTCTGTGATAGATAGATAGATAGATAGATAGATAGATAGATAGATAGATATGAGCAGTCTGAGATAGATAGATATGAACAGTTTTAGATAGATAGATAGATAGATAGATAGATAGATAGATATGAACAGTCTGTGATAGATAGATAGATAGATAGATAGATAGATAGATAGATAGATAGATATGAACAGTCTGAGATAGATAGATAGATAGATAGATAGATAGATAGATAGATAGAAACAGACTGAGATAGATAGATAGATAGATAGATAGATAGATAGATAGATAGATAGATAGATAGATTCCCGGCTAGAAACATAAGCGCAGAACCAAATAGAAACATTGTGAATACTGGCCTCGACTAAAACTCAAATACCCATTACTAAAGCTCGGTGTTTCAGCCATCAGACAGACTTACAGATAGATATGTAAAGATTGAGATCACGAAAGACGAATTAGCAGACAGTCAGCATAGACTGCTTTATGAAATGTCCCGTCTTGGCTGTCAGTTTCCGGGCAGCAGAATTTGCCATCAGACGACCACACGCTTTTCACGCCAAAACTCCGCAGGCCGATAGCAGCAAAGGGAAAGAAAACATTATCGATCAGCACCAGCTGCCGAGCCAGCAATATCACCTACTGACAAACTAATGGTCAATCTCGCTGACATCTAAACGTTGCTATATCTGAATACGGTAACCCGTCTTGCTTCTTTTTCCATAGACTTTGGCGTGTCGTCCTTTGCTTGGCACCAAAACGAATTGGACTATTTTTATCTTTACAGTCGAGCGTCATCAAAGTAAGCAGAGGTCGCAAAAGTCACCCATACGCCAGCCGTTTCTCAATTGGTTTCAATGGAAGGTGATGCTGAATAACTGCATGGAAACTACACACTTGAAAATTCACTGTATTTATGAGTAACGGTCTTAATTTTTGTTCACTTATTTGAACTGAAACCAATCTCTTTTAGAATTTTGAACAAGTCTTGGTAAAAAAAAAAAAAAAAAAAAAGCCGAAGAATTAAATAACGAATTAAAAAAAACTTTTCGAAATAGAAAAAAAAACTTTCATAAATTTAAAATGTTTCACTATTTAGCTAGCTTCGCCAGAAAATCTATTCGTAATTGAATATTATGGAGTTGCTTCGATTTTTAAATTCTATACTCTTTCATTGGTTAGATAGACATCACGTGTTAATTTTATGGTGTTAGTACGTATATACCTATATACGTATATATATACCATAATTTCCTATGTATAATACGCCTTCATCCATAATACACACCTCTGAAAGTGTGGGAAAATGCTTCTAC